GAATCATCAGTAGTTGCTCCCTGAGCATGCTTGCGGGAGCTATACCGTTAACTCCCTAATAAGAGAACATTGCGTCTGGTTTCAAAAACAAATACAATCACATAATTGATTTAAAAACTCATTGTCTCTAGGTGTGTTAATTGAAGGAATTTCTAGCCTAAAGTGTCAAATTATTGAAAATTAAAGGACTTAAGAGATTAAGCTTAAGGTGAAGTCTTTAATAATTATCCTATTAATTTTTATTAACCAATTATTGGATCAAATAATTGATATGAGCACTCGGGCATTTTATGCAAAAGTCCAAACCAAACTATCCTTTAATTTAATGACTAAGGTGGTAAAAATCTAAAATCTTGAGGACCTAAGTGTAAAAAATCTAAAATATAGGGACTTAATCATAAAAAACTAAAGTCTGAGGTATAAAGTGTAAAGGCCTAAACTATTGGGACTAAGGTGTAAAAAATATAAAGTCTAGGGACTAAGGTTTAAAAATCTAAAGTCTAGGTACTAAGATAAAAATAGAATAATTCAGGGATCAAATTGTAATTAAATAAAGTTAGGGACTAAATAAAAAATGTATTAAAATTCTAGGGACAGAAACAAAAAATAGAATAGTTAAAAGACTAATTTGCAACTACACACATTAATTTAAAATTGTGGCTAAATTGTAATAAATATGAAATTAAACAATAAAATTGAAATTAGGACAGTGACTTGAGTGTAAAAATACGGTAAAATTTAGAGGACCTTAAAACAAATAAACCAATAGTTAGTATTAGGAAATAAAAATGAAAAATTACTAAATAAGGACAAAATTCAATTTAATTAAGTAATTAAAGCAAATCTGGTGACCAAAATTAACTCCGGGAAGAGTTGCGATGACCACGGAGAAGGTTTTCTCCTCGAGCCTTAAAACACGCGTTTAAGCCATACGATTTTAAGTCTATGGGCAATAAGGGTCAAAACGACGCAGTTTTAAGGCGCCTATAAATAGGCATATTTTGGGTTTTTTTTTATTTCCACATGAACTCCCTCTCTCTACACTTTATTTATCTCATCGCTCTCTCTAGAAGGTCAATCGGAGCTCAAAAACGTCGTCGCCATCCGTCGTCGGTGGCCATTGGCCACCAATTTCATGGCCAGCTCCGTGTAGGCACAGTGGTCTCGGATTTGGGGTCCGTTTTGCGAGAAATAACCTCAACCGTTACAAAAATGGGTCGAGAACCCCTGGACTTCCGACTTCCGATCCCCCACCGTCTGCCATCAGATCAAGTTGTTTATGAGGTATGTTGTTCACCAGCGTCTCCTCTCCCTTCTCAACAGTTGGATCCTTGAACGTACCTTCTGAATGTCGGTGAAGACTCCAGCTGAAGGTAACATCCATTCTCATATTCTCGACCCTTTTTTTTGTAATTGTTTAAAAAAAATTCAGAGAGAGGGTTCTCTTTAGTGGTTCTTTGCTCCGAATGAAAAGAAAAGAAAAAAAATTGTATTGTTTTATTCGAATTGCGTAAGAAGAGAATTTTTTAAGGAAACGCTTCTCTTTTTTATTGCTATGAAATGGTTTACAATGGTAGGGGATCCTCTGTTACAAGGATTTTTTTTTTGAGAGAGGGGGTTCCCTTGTTTACAATGTTTTGTTGGGTTTTATCGAACCCTTCCATGTTACAAAAGCAAAGTAAAAAATAAGGAAGCCTTTTCTGCTTTTTTTTTTCCCCTCTCACTTGCTTTTTTTCTTAGTCTTGCATACTGGTGGTTTTGGCGTAAAGCATGGCTTGCCGGTGCATGCAACAATGAGGCAATGGTGGCAACAATGGGCATGCAACCGGGGCATTCATATTAAGGGGATCCACTTACAATATGTATCGGCCTTAAATAATACATCATTCTCTAAGTGCTCCAAAACAAAGACCCAATTATAATAAATCAAGTTCAACAAAATGATTTCCATTCATGATTTCATTGAGCCAAAATCAAACTCAAAAAGATTTATTCGACTTCGGATTGAATTAAATTAGATAAATTCGAATAAGATAATCAAACTTAAGGATGTCATAGGTAATAAAAAGTGGTTCGAATTCAAATCCAAGTATTTTGGTGGTTCGGGCTTAGCTCATTATTTCATTACTGCCCTTGGTGGTCCAACCATGTCTCATGCAATCCTTGGCATTCGTATATACGTGTTAAAAGATCATTTAATCAGATCATCAAATTTATTATATGATACTGTTACCTCCGTATGGATATGTATAAAAACTATATCCAAAATTAACTTTTAGTGCTTAAAGAATTTTCCGTTAAAAATAGGTGTCTAAATTTTTATTTGTTTAGACACTTATTTTTAACGAAAAAATTTTTAGACACTAAAACGTTTTTTAAGACATTCTTTAAATACTTATTTTTGTATTAAGTCATATAGATAACATACACGTCACAATCATCACCATGTAGTAGTGTCAGTCATATAATTATCAAAAGCACCTAATTATATTAATCGTCATGGTAACAAGGTAGCTTGTAAATTAGTAAATTGGACATTTCGGTAAGATTCAACTATGTACTTTAACTCTATTTGTCTCGAGATTGTTAAGACTATTATATTGAAGGATTCTCGCAAGTAATATAATTTTTGTGGATACTTTTTTTTTCCTTATAAGATTAGAAGGGGTTTTTAAAGAGACTCGATTTAAAAAAACAACATATATATGTAATACAATATTCTATATCTTTAATTAGGAGTCAATTTAGAATAATTTAGACATCTATATGCAAAAAATGATATAGTGAACATTTATTTTTTATATTAAGCCTTTCTTTTAAAAATATTTTTGGATAAAAATATATCAAACTTTTAATATTATAGTATATAAAATATATCAAATTCTTATATACAAAATATTTGAAAATTATTAAATTTTAATATATTGTAAAAGATTATATAATTTACTTATTAAATTTAATTTGAGTATATAAATTATATTTTAAAAACTGAAATTACATATACAAATAATTATCATAAAATCAAATATATTTGTTTCATGCAAAATATTTTGCTGAGATTTTTTTTTTTAATTTTTTGACGTTTGGTTTAAATAAAATAAATTCATCAATATAAAACTAATTATAAAATTAATTATACACGAATCAATTTATCTCAATGGTTAACTTTATTGTTCTTGGAGGTCACTGGATTCATGCACCAGTAATTACAGTAAGGTGATTAATTGTTCATTGTCAAATGATTAAGAGTATTTAAAATAAATACTATTTTGTAATCACTTTAATTTAATAAAAAAATGTAAAATAAATCACATCACATACTTTTAAAGAATGATTCTCATTTTAAATTGATCATTAAATTTTTAAATATTTTAATTACGTCCTTAAACTAGGATTATCATTCTATTTTAATCTTTAAATTTTTAAGGATCTCAATTTAATCCCCCAACTACTACCTCCATTCTAGATTGAATTTTAATTTATGTATATAGTAATCACATTTATTGTTAATAAAATCGTTAAATTAAATTATATAATTATATGCTTTAAAATTACAAAATTTAAGTTAAACTAAAATTTAAGCTAATTATATATCTAGATGAATTCTAGGATTAAATTAAAAGATCTAAAATGAGTGTTATTCAACCAAAAGACTAATTTAAAATGAGTGTTATAGTGACAAACAAATTAAGGTTTCGGTCTTAAATGGTGAACCAAGAATTTGACTTTTACTTCGTCAGCTCTTGGAATTAAGGTAGCGTTTGGTTCGTGGGAATCTCTTGAAATTAGAAGGAATTGAAATCTAATTACATTATTTTTTTCATGTTTGGTTCAAGTTTTTAAAGGGAATTGGAATTGCTCATGACTTCAACTTTCCATTAAATGAGGGAAAGATTTGATGGAAAGTGAATTTCATCCATTATATGATGGAATTCAATTCTCTTATTGGAGTGAATTGAAATTTGATCATACTACCCTCATCAATCTTTTAGTAACTTATTCATATATTGAATAAAAATATTTTTTTATTATTTCGGGTCAGGTCGAGTCGGGTTTCTAATTCATATATTCGGGTCGGGTCGGGTGAAACTTTATTTTGGTCGGGTCGGATCGGTTTTTTTAAGTATGATATTCGGGTCGAGTTCGGGTTTAGGGTGAAAAATACTTAACCCGACCCGAAAATATATATAATTTTACCTTATATATTTAGGAATAATTACAATAATACCCCAGATATATAATTTTTTTCAATTAAGTCACTATTTTTATTGAATAAAAATAATTTTTTATTATATCGGGTCGGGTTTCTAATTTATATATTTGGGTCGGGTCGGGTGAAACTTTATTTTGGTCGGGTCACTTTTTTTTAAGTGTGATATTCGGGCTGGATCGGGGTCGGATTCGGGTTTAGAGTGAAAAATATCCGACCTGACTCTACCCAAAAAATATATAATTTTACCTTATATATTTAAGAATAATTACAATAATATCCCTCAATATATAATTTTTTTCGAATTAAATCATTGTTTTTATTGAATAAAAATAATATTTTTATTAGTTCAGGTCGGGTTTTTAATTCATATATCCAAGTCTAGTCGGGTGAAACTTTATTTTGATCGGATCGAATCTCATATAGAGATTCCCTTGTTCTCGGGTCAAGTAAGGTGAACCAAAAACCAAACCCAAAAACATCCCTAATTGAGATGATTTTAACTTATAATGTTTATTAACATAATTTTTATAATTTATTAAAATAAATAATCAATTAATAAAATTAAAAATTAATATTTTTTAATTTTTAATTTTTATAATATATTTAACATGTAATTTATAAAGCAAACTAAAATTAAACAAAACATAACAAAAAGAAAAATAATCTTGTTATTTTACATTACTGAAATCAAATTCATCTAACATATTTGCGAACTAAACATAATATAAAATTAGATTCCAATTCAATTTCATTCCAACTAGAATTAAATTCTAATGATTTCGATTCCTGAAAGATTTCAATAGATTTTAATTCCCTCATAAACATTTCAGCGAGCCAAACGCCACCTAAATGCCTTCGTTTTAGCTCTCAGAAAACGGGTCAATAGGTCGTGTCCCTTCTCCACCTGACCCGGAAGTCCGAAACGGATAATACCACATTGCCAGAGCACCACCGCCCCAGGCACGTGATTCCTCGAAAAACGCTCCTATCTTCATCATTCCCCATGATCTACAGTCATATCTGATCATTTCCCAAGCTCCAGACACGTGGAGCCTGATCATCCGTCTTTACATCCGACGGTTCTCCTTTAACTTCAGAACAAGACTTGACTTCCTGCCGCTGCACTTGATTATTGTCGAACTCCTCATCCTCACCCTCTCGCCTCATGCTTTTCAGCCCAATGGAAACTCCGAACAACATCGGCGTCGCATCCTCCGCCACCACCTCCACCTCCTCCTGCTCCCCATCCTCCGTATCGTTCGCCGCCTTCGATCCAACATCGACCGCCGCACTCGCCGGCAAAAGATCCAACGCCTTCTCTTCCCCCACGTTCCGATGATTCTCCGACTGACCCGAAGCATAGTTCGTTACCAAAGTGAGAATATTGTTATACAATCCCTTCAAACGAGTCAACTCCCGACTCAGCTGTACGTTTTCTTTCCTAAGCCTGTCGTTCTCCTCCAAAAGCTCGGGCGTCGTCGTGCAACTCGTGGTCCGCTGTAAAACGGTGGCGACTGGAGGCGTGCTCGACGAAACAACCTGCTCTTCCCCCGAATTAGACGGTGATGCCGATACCTTAGTACAATGAACCGCCGCCACGGTCACCGTCCCAGAAGCTGCAACAACGGTTGCAGTTATTTTCCGGCGTAGAATGTCTCGCAGAAGCCCTTTATCGCCTCTTCGAAAACAATCGTTAGCGAACTCCCATCGATCTGGAACTACCTTCCTGAAACCCTAAAATAATAAGAAAATAAAATAATTATTTACACGTTTAAATTAAAACCTGATTAAGCTAATTATTGTTACATCTAATGCTTAGTTGCTTACATATGTGTTGAGTTGGCGGACGAAACTAGAGAAATTGTTATGCTTGAAGTATTTGGGGAGCAAATCGCGGGCGAACTCAGCAGGGCGCCAAACGATGAAACTCGATCCATCATCGTTCCATGAAATCAACACATCAACAGAGGGATCATCGACGAGTTGATAGGTTTTGGTAAGGAACGGAGTAGGTAAGGATCGTGGCGACTCAATAGCAGTACCGGCACCGGCAGGGGAGTCGCCTGGTTGATCGGCAGGTAATGTGGTCATGTGGTTCGTTTTTGATATCCGAACCCTAGAAAACAAGATTTCTCCGGCTATACAGATTCTTCCGGCGTGCCTTAACTGGTCAGTAATTAAACTCCCAATTAGACTAAGTGAGTAAAAAAATAACAAGCCGTTTGGTATCCGAGAAAGTGCGAGAAAGAAAATAAATACTCCTACTCAGATGTTTCTAGCTGAACATACAGTCTAGCATAACTTATTTCATTTTCATTAGAACACTCAGAATTTCCCAAATACTATAAACAATTTATTACCATGTAATCTTTTTGACCTAAGTAATAATTATATACAAATATATTAACATTACTTCATTTATTTCTTAAATCATCAACCATATCAAAGTATTTAAATCTAACTGGAAATAATTAATAAGATATTACAGGGGTATTCGAAGCTAACAATTCTTACCTGAAAGAAAGCGAGAATTTTCCAAGCAACCAAACAAGTAAGAAAAGTGGCTCATTCGTTCAGAAACCGTTTCAACGTCGTAAACGGAATGGAGATGGCGCGCCGACGGCGGTTAGGTTTTGTTGTTAATTCTAGAAGGTTCAGTGCGGAGTAAATGATAAGGGGAAAAGGCAGAGAAAATGAGAGAGACAGACGGTGGATTCCAGAAGGAAAGGGAAATAAAAAAGGTTTTTTAAAAGTAATTTCTTTTTGGGTAAAATACATGTTCAGTATCTACATTATTACTTTTATTCTAATTTATAACCTAAACTTTTAATTTTTTTAAAATTATATCGAATGTTTACTTTTTATTTCATTTTGGTACCCTTTATTTACTTTTTGTTTCATTTTTAGTATCTAAATTTTTAAAGGTGGGATATTAAGATGAAACACAAAGTAAACTTTAAGTATAATTTTGAAAAATTGAAAGTTTAGGTATTAAAACGGAATAAAAGTATTAGTTTAGGTACTAAACATGTAGTTTACTCTTTTTATAAAGAAAGGAAAATACTTAGAGAAGAGGATAAGTACGTGGGACCCACGCGCACTGTCCGAAACGAAAGGAAGGCGCCAGAAGCAGAAGGAGGGTGCCATTTTCTATTTTTTTTTATTTGTTGAGTAAATTCACTTAATGGTCATCATATTATTATATTGTTTCTATTTTGATCACTAAATGACTTTTTTCAATTAAGACACTAGCATTAGCAAAATTGATCATAAAATATTAATTTATGATGAAGACTATATTGATTAAGTTGTTATATACGAAGGGTCGAATCAATTGATTTATCTTGAACTAGGACAAAATTAATAAAATATATAAATAATGAAAATTAAACATATTATTATATGAATTTTAGAACTTCCATGTCAATAATTTCACTAACCAGTTATTTTCTAGTGATTCGGTTGATCAATTTTGCTAAAATTAATGTATTAGTTGAAAACAACTTTAGTTTGGTCAATTTTGCCAACATTAATGTCTTAATTGAAAAACAACTTTAGTGTAGTGGCCATAATAGAGATATCCTAATAGTTGACTGACCAATAAATTAGTTGATCCTTTATTCTTTTAATTATGGTCTCTTCGAGAAACTTCCCGTTCCTTCTTTCATCACGTAGTTGTCTGGTAAAACAGTAAAAGGATGGATTTATTACAACGTGGTCACCTTGTCTCTCTCCGCGTCGGAATTAGTATGGTTGTCGGATTTTACAAGCTTTTTCTTAACCATGTAGAAAAGTTCCTTATTTTATATCGATCAGGTAGGAATAATACTCTAAATAATCAGTCAGATCAAATTTAGGTGAAGATATATATTTTTCGGATCGAGTCAGGTGGAGGATATAAAATTTTTAAGTTAGATTGGGTTCAGTGGAAGATATATATTTTCGGATTGGGCAGGCTGACAAAAAACCTAACCCTAACATGACTCGTTGCCATCCGTACTTTCCGTTTACATTTATAAAATTTTACTCACCAAATTTTAAAAATTTAAATTTTAGTCGTAGGTGTTATTGCTTTATTAAATTTTGATCATTTACATTATTGATTATTATATTTTAGTCGTTGAACAGTGAACTCATGTTAGCTTAATGACGAGCACATATTATTCAAAAGAGATTATTTTTTAATATTATCCCTAAACTTTAGATAAAATATTAGTTAGACCTTAAATTTTAGATAAATTATCATTTTAACCCCTAAATTTTAGATAAAATATCAATTTTACCATTAAATTTGACAAAAAATCTCTCGTCGGCACCATCCCTCCACCAATGTCATTGATGATCAAATCGTCGTCGTCGATTATTAGACTCCAAAATTTATTGTTCATTTCCTTTTTTAAATTTTGAATATGAATATAATATTATTTTCATTGAAAAATATCTTAAACTTAAGAATTGGACGAAAGTAAAAGAATTGATAAAAGTTTCTTTCCGTTTAAGGGTTAGAAAATTTTCCCATCAAAATCAAGAGGCAATGATCACGAGATATGTGTTTGAAAATCCATAGAATCCCACGTTTCTATGTGAATCCGTCCTACGGTTAAAGGTAGGGGTGTGTAAAAATATCCGATTCGATTGATCTAACCCGTCAACCTGAACATTAAAAAATCGAGTAATTTTATAAAAAAAAAATTACTCGACTGAGTTGGGTACCTGGCCAGACATTTCCCGGGTCGGGCCCGGGTCTCAAAATTGTGTTTTTTCGGATACGTGGTTACCCGAGTACCCGGTTAGTTATATATATAATGAATTATTTATATTATGAATTATTATATTTTTTATTTCGAACTTTTAAATTTTATGTTCGGATATTGGAGTATGTAATTCGAAGTTTCGAACATTTAAATTTGTGTATATATATATATATTTAAATTAATAATTTAAAAATGAAAAAAAGGGTACCGCAACATCCGGATCGAGACACGGGCCGATAAATCATTGACCCGGATATTTCGGATATCCGGTAATCGGGTACACGAAAATCCGGGTACTCGGATTTGCACACCCCTAGTTAAAGATAATAAATAAAATAAAATAGTAATGATTTTCCATGTTTTGCATTCTTGCAAGAATCACGACTGTCTGTAAAGTGTCTTTTCCAAGATGAGGCCCACGCTAAACATATACAGCCCATTGTTGGATAGCTTGAACACTTAAAAATAAAAACTTTATTTATTTTTACCCAATAATTAACACATCAACTTTTTATTTGTTGCAATTTATATATGAAATTGTTCTTTTAATTACTGTTTTTAATAAAAAAAAACTAACAATATTATTACGTGCAATGATTTTAAATTTTAATAATCATATAAATTTGGTTAAACGATCTACTATGCCCCAAACTACATCGTGTCTCTGACTGGTTATCGATAACCCAATCACAAAGTCCATGATCACCCTGTCCCATTCCCAATGAGATATCTAAATATGCTAAAGTAATTTTGAGGGAACTTGATGTTTCGCTTTAACCTACTGACATACTAAGCATCTAGCAACGAACTCAAACATTTTTCTTTTCATACCCTGCCACCAGTATAACTGTCGAGGCTCTTGGTAAATCTTGTTACTGCCTAGGTGAGCTGAGAGCGGACTGCAATGTGTCTCACGAAACTCTTGGTTTGGAGTGATTATTAGATGTCAAAATGATATTTATTTAAAAGTTTCTTAATCTACTGATATTGTAAATACACCCTACAAACACCGTTGATCGAATCTAGAAGTACTTTTAGCTTCTAGAGATTAATAGTTTGTATCAGCGAGGAAACTTTATGGCTTATAGAAAATGTGTATTATTTAATGAAATGGTTGTAATCAAGATGGTTCACCTTGTCAAGGGTGGGAGAATTAGGGATGTAAATGAACAGAGCATTAAGTGAACAATTCATGAATTGTTCGTATAATATTTGTTTGTTAAACTAAATAAATATATGAACAATATTTTTTAAGTTCATTTAATAAAAGAACGAACACGAACAAATGTGTGTTTTGTTCGTTTATGTTCGTGAATAAACTCGTTTATGAGCTCGTTAAGCTCATTTATCGGCTTGTTTACACAGTTTTCCTTTACCTTTTTTTACATTTTAAATATTAGTGAAAGAAGTAACTTAATTGAACACATGATAAAAATGGAAATTTAAACTATAAATTTTAAAGAGTTTAAGCACGGGTGGCATGATTTGAAAAGGAAAAACTAAAAATCGAACATATAAACAAACGATAAATGAACACTAAACGAATACTAAACAAATATTAAACGAACATTAAATGAACACGTTCGTGAGCGCTAAATGAACACGTTCGTAAACATATAAACGAACTTGTTCGCGAACAATAAATAAACGAACATGACCACCTTCAAAAATAATAAATAAACATGAACATGATATTAAAAATTTAAACGAACACGAACTAAACATGAATACTTTAAAAAATTAAAAAATAATAAAAAAACAAACATGAACGTAACCTTATTCACCGAAGCTCGATTCATTTACACCGCTGGGAGAATCTTTGTTGGTGTCACAATCATACTTGGGGTTCAACACGTGCCCTTGTTGTCCCAACGTCATTCTCCTTTTGCATCTGTGTCTGGTGTGGAGTCGATAGCTTTCTTGAAAAACAACCTTAGAACCAGGAAAGTCAAAGTAGCTTGTTTATGCCAAAAAACATGGGACCAACGCCCCTGGTTTCCCCTCAATCTCCTCTCCTGTGGCTATAAATACACAACCCTCCAAAAATTTTACCAGTATTTTTCATACACCTCCACCAAAGTTTCTTCCTTTCGTCACCTTCAAGCTCTACGTTTTCGTTTCAAATTTTCCGGGAATCGATAAGCTATCGTAAATGGACGTGTTTATTCCCGAGGAGTATGTTATTCGTCGAAGGATCGAGAAAAAAGCGGCGAAACGGCCACCCGACAAGAAGGCCAGCAGTAGAATGGAGAAGGAGGAGAGGAAGACGACGGAGCTGCAGCCGCCGTTTCGATTAAACGGTGGCGAGTTCTTGGTCTCCGGTGGGATTAGTGAAACCGTAGTTTTCAGTTGTTTGTCTGCCTAACTTGATGGACAATATATTTTGTGATGAGTTTAACTGGAGTTTATTTTCCATTTTTTAGACTTATTTTGGAGGTAGATAGCCGTTACTAGAGTTGATTATCTAACGAGTTGGTCGCGAGTTGCGTAATGCTCCACTCGTGGTCGTTAAAAAAATTTGTTACTCAACTCGGTATTCGTTAAAATTTTATTCGACTCGTGTTCATTAAGAAACCTTGTTGCTCGTTAAACTCATTAAACTCGTTACTCGTTAAGTTCGATGCTCATTGCTAGTCTCGATGTTCGTTAAGCTTACTGAAATTTTTACCTTATTTTCTTCTAGATAAAATCTACTAATACTCTATAGAATTTAATATAAACATAAATTAATAAATTTAACCAAAAAAAATGAAAACATTATATGAAGTAATTTTAAAGTTTAAACTCTAAAGAAACAATCCACAAATATATTAAAATAATAAATAAGGTTTGATTTTTGAGTGTATGAAATAGATTTTTTAGATAACTACTAAAAAATTATGTAAAAAAATATTAACGAGCTGCTCGCAAATTTATCTAGTCGAGTTAGACTTTGTTCGACTCCAACTCGTTAAGGTTTTAAGTCTAGTTCGAGTCGAGTCAATCTCAATTGAGTTTTTACCGAACTTTGACCTAGTTGAATTCAAACTACTCACTAGCTGCTAAACTCATTAAGCACTCCTAGTCGTCTCCAAACTTTTACTAATTTTAGGCACGGAAAGGATGGGAAATATCGAGCTTCAACTTTATTACATGTTTTTATTTTTTAAAAAAATAAATAAATTGCACAAATCAAATTATCTCAATTGTTCAAAAAATGATTGTTATTTCAAGATGTTTCAAGCTTGAGCACCATAGACTGTAGAGTATTTAAACGTTTATTATTAAATAATTGAGAATATTTATAACATATTCTATCACTTGTAAGAGATTAATAAAAAAATAATTAAAAAAAAGATTCTATCACTTGCTCTTTCATCATGAATTGAGAGCAACACATTGTAACATCAGATTTCGTATAGTTCTCTGTCATTCTGATCTTTGGAAATGTTGCTTGCCAAAGAAGTAACATTTGGCCTTTCAACACAGAGACACAGAGACACACACACGCGCGCGCGCACGCACACACACGCGCACGCGCACGCGCACGCGCACGCGCACTCTAGACAACCCTTGCATTCGTCATTGATCAGACAACAGAGGGGGAAGAAAAAGATCCACTATAAAAATAAAGATAATAAGTTATTCAAATACATGAAATTTCATCGAGCATGTCACTAAAGTTCTTCCAATATCCATGGAGAATTCATCTCTAAAACATAGATCCGAAAGGATTACATCTCTCTCATAATTATCTCTCTCATACTTTTAAAGGTTAAGATTTGATCCATATTTATAATCTTACCTGAATAAGCTTAATCTTGCATTACACCGAAATCCAACATGACTATCCATTTGCATTTGAATGAATACATAACAATCTCACTTGACAAAAAATTTATCAAAAAATTATTCTAGTTTTTGACGACTTCAATCTCACATAAATCAAACATTCGTGAAAACATTACTGATTTGATCGAAAAATACGTAGGAACTAGTTGAAAAACCATCATGTCTAACTCGAAGCATATGCAAAGGAGCTAGTCTACTAGTTCTCAAATCTCGAATCAAAAATATAAAAGTTAGAAGTAGTTACTTTTGCTTTGATCGTGAGTAATGATTGTCGTTCGGATTCCTCTTTCCACTAAAGACTGCTAATGCTTTTCTTACTGGAGGCTGAAGAGGTGCTCTCTTATCACTATGGTGAGTGAAGGTGTCCCCAGCCATTAAGAGATCAACGTTCCCCTATATCAAAACCAACACATCTCCCCATCATAAATTAACACATGAAACAAATATATAGATGCATAAACATAAACTACGCCTTATATTTATTAAAAAAAATGATGGGACAAACCTGTTTATTTGCCTTCTTCTTAGTTTTAGGGTAAAGGAACTTCTGGGGAAGTTGATCTTCACGCAAAATGAGGTTTTTGGTTATGGCATCCCTTCCACCTTGGGGTAAAGGCAGAGAAAACTGCACACAGCAATGAACACAATCGTATAATATTTTCATCATATAACAACCCAAAGAATAGACACCTAAAGACCGTTGCAAGATCAAATTGAAAATTTAATAAATCGGTGGAACCACTCAGAAAGTGATTGTTATCCTTTATGTATGATGATTATGCAAACAAGCTTACCTTTGTACCGCGCAATGTAATTCTTGGGCGATGGGATGCCAAAACAATTCCGTTTTCACCAACAGTAACAGCTACCTTTCGTAATGTTCCTCCATTCCCGCACTTGGGACAGAAAATTCTTCCAATTTCAGCAGTCACGGTATAGCAGGCATGGCACTTCAATACCCATCTACAAACAGAAACATATTCAAGAGTAAGCACATATGCATGAAATACTTAATTTTGACATGCTATAATTGAATTGATGGTTCACATTTGAACAAGTAAAACTGTCTACCGACCATCACTAGTAGTTATATATGCCTTAGTGATATACCTGTGCAGCTGCCTAATCTGTATTCCACCAGGTGCTAGTAATCGTAAACCCATTTGCAAAAGAACATTTTGCATTGCAAAGTCCCCCGTTACACAAGCCACGGTGGACTCGGATAAGGACCTCAGCATCCAGCTCTGTTCACTGCTAACATCATCTGCATATGATGCATGTTCGGTTTCATTGGTCTGACTTGACAACTCCAACTGCTCTAATTCTTCACCATCTCCTTCAACAGCAATATTTACATTACCATCTAACACAGCTTCCTCCATGGCAGTCTCCTCTTCAGTTCCTTCATGAAGAGCAATCACTGAATCTTCTTCCAGCCTCATTTGTTTTAGGATTGATGAAAGATCCCCATCACCCACGTCAACTTCTGCTTGCTCAGCCTGCACAGAAATCCCATTTCCATTATGAAATTCTTCGGCACTTCGTTGCAACAGCTGATCAGGACCACTTGCATCTTCAACATTGTTCTTCTCTATGCTTTTCTTCATAACTTCTTGACAATCTTTCTCCACTAACGCCTCATAGCATTCCCGCCTAGCTTTCCTCCTAAGGAATCTCCTATGAGTACTTCGACTAACAGCAGGTTTCCAATCATCAGTGTTATCATCAAACTGCCCCTGAGATGCATCAATCCCATCAGCCACCATCTTTTTCCCTTCTATTTTTACCTCTTTTTTATGGGGTAAATATCGCCTAGGCCTCCTAAAACCCTGATCAGCATCCTCCTGATTCTCAGAATGAGTTTCACCTTTTGTTTCCACTGATCCACCTTCGGAACGGTTATCCGAAGAGACAATGTTCATATTTAAGTCTTTCAATGGAAGGATTCTTGAGTTAGAATTCAATCCATCCCCGTTTTCACATTCGAGCGCTTCCCACTCTTCCAAATTGGGGACATTAGAGCCCCATCCAGGCAAGTCCCTTTTGGGAAGCCTCTTTACATTAACAACATGAACAGGGGGTGGAGCATCCCTAAGATGATGCGTTCCATGAATTTGCGACTCCAATGTATACGTCAAGGCAATCAACTTGAGATCAACATCCGAAAGAGTCTGCAAATCACCAGTCGCCCTCGCAAATTTGATAACTAGAAAGCTCAAATAAAACATCCAATTAACAAATTAGGTAAGAATAAAAATGGCATCAATTAATATTCTACACCAAGAAGCGAAAAGCAAATACTAATGAACATCAGGGATTTAAATAACAGTCCGAGAGCAATATAACAGCCTCCATTTCAGTTATTGTCTGCAACTACAAGGAAAGCAATGCGGCGGCAACCGCAATTTAAATCCATGATGAACATAACCAAAAAACATACAAAAATCGAGATGGGATTTGATGTTAAGTTCGAGCACCTTTATTTAGGGCATCGGGAGAGGGCTCCATTGAGTCGATGGAGAAAAGGATAAAGGCGAGGCGGTGGCGAGAAACAGGGTCGCGAATTTCGGCGAGAACTTCGGGGACGGTGATGAACTTGTCAGAGTTGTTGTTGAGCCTTTCGCCACCTTCAATAATGGCGTTGGCATCAACCACGGCCACCGCTATCCCCATCGTGGATTTGCAGCTTTCCACGAAGAGTTGGCTCGGCTCCGTTGTTTGGTTTCGAGATTGAGGCTTTGCCGGTTGGCTCTTTAGAATGCTGCTCCAACATGGAGCAGGATTCGGGTTCGGGTTTGGCCCTACGTAGTCCTCCATTCTTTTTGCTTACAGAGAAAGCCTGAAGCTTGGAATCTCTTTTGACAACGAAGCTCAAAGTTCAGGGTCTAAAACCCTAGAAAATGCGACGGAGGGAAACCTTTTTATTGTCCGAACGGTGTCGTTTAAAGAAAATTAAATAAAGGGTAAATTACATCAATCATCACTAAACTTTACTCGTTCTCCTATTTTACTCAATTTACTTTAAATCCATTCAATTTTCTCATTAAACTTAACATAATTAGCATTTTTAGTCACTCGGCCGTTAAGTATTTAAAGATGTTAAAACGACATCGTTTTGCATCTATAAGTAAAGTTCACTGATGATTGGTTCAATGAATAATTGAACATATTTAAAGTAAAGTGAGTGAAATATGAGAGATAGTAAAGTTCAGTGATGATTAATGTAATTTACCCTGAAATTAAATGTTGCATGTAGGAATTATTTAGGGGCGTCAACGTTAGGGACTATTAACACTAGAATCTAACATTTCAAATTGATTAAATAAGATTTATCATTTTCGAAATTATTCAAATAAAGATATAAGTATTTGCTTGATCGAATGAGGAGTTAATCTTTTCGAATCTATTCAAATATGAGTCCTTGTATTTTTAAATTTATTCAAATAATAGTTAAGTTTAGGGTAAAATACATAAATGGTCATCGAACGTTTAGGGTACTTGCATTTTGGTCACCGAACTTTTAAAACTTGCAATACAGTCATCAGACTTTAAATTCGCTTCCAGTAAGGTCTCTGACGTTACCTACAATTAGTTTCATCTGACACGACATGTTCCTATTATTTTTTTACTGAAATGGAATAAGTAAACAAAAATAGCAGCTATAAAGTTCTTCCAACTCCAGTAGTATCCTCGTGTTCATTGTTTGCACCCATATTCCTTGTTAAGTCGCTTCTCATCCATTGGTCTTCTTCCATAAGTTCAGCAACAACGTCTGGAGGACAATCGTGAACCTGAAAACCAGCTGGTGAACTCCATGCCATTTTGGCCAAACCATCTACTACACGATTACATTCTCTATAGACATAGCAAAACGATACAGACCAGTTTCGATTAGGGAAGGTAGCAATATGGGGAATCATTGGTGAAGCTCCTCTTGAATCTGGAGCACCATTAATCGCAGCAACGGTTGTTTAACTGCTGCAATCGCAAGAAGAACCGACTGAGGAAGCCTTGCGCAAAACATCTCCCAATTCCAATCCCCGGTGGGAGAAACCATCTCATTAACCATTACACAATTATGCTCCAGGCCATTTTGATCGTGGCACATGTGAAGAACAGGGCCAAAATCAGCTAACCACTCATTCTTTCGGAAGTCAATTTTTAGGGAATACGAGAATAAAAAAAAAAGGGGATATTTGATTTTTAAGGTTTTCAGCCAATTCTGGGTGAGGGAACTTTTTTAGGGTGCTGAAATGGGTTAAAAGGATTATTTTATTAAGCTGGAAAATAACAGCAATGTGCCACGTCAAATGAGACTAACGGGTTCGGTGACTGTATTGTAAGTTTTAAAAGTTTGGTGACCAAAATGCAAGCACCCTGAAAGTTTGATCACCATTTATGTAGTTTACCCTTAAGTTTATTAAATTACACAAATTATCTCTCGACTATAGGGTGTTGTTTTGTTGAGACTCTAACTATTAAAAGTTATAAAATGATCCCGACAATGGGGAGTTATTTTGTTGAATCCTCCGAATATTAAAAGTTACAAAATGGTCACACGACTATTTATATGTTCAAGATTCGTCTTTTTATGTTAAAAATTGACCATCGCTTCAGTTGGACGTTAACATGTTGAATGAGATATGATAAAATCATATTTTAATATTGTTTACTGACATTGCCGTTGCTTTCAAGCATTGGCTCGACGACATAATGTTTTTAAGAAATAGCTCGACAAAATAATGTAAGTGGAGATTCGATCCACAAAATATAACTCAAATGATTCTGAGATCAGATTTTATAATGTCCTAGTCAACATGCTAACATCCAACTAAGATGACTGCTAACATTTTAATAAAAAAAAGATAAATTTGGAACATATGAATAGTCGAGTGACCATTTTATAACTTTTAATAGTCATGAGACTCAACAAAACAACACTCTATAGTCAGGGAATCATCTTATAACTTTTAATATGTAGGGGACTCATCAAAACAACACCATATAGTTGGGGACCATTTGTATATTTTATCATATTATTTTGGATAACTTATCTATTTAATATTCACCTATTTTAGTATTTGTTCTATTATCCAACAATTTTTTTTAAATAAAATTTTATTTGATGTTGGATTTTACTTCTATTTTAATCATTAATAGTTAAAAAATTTAATTAAAATAATAATATATCTTATTTTAAATTAGAATTATAATAATTTTAATTAAATTCAATCAATTTAATCTTAATTTAAAACAATTCAAAAATCTTATTAATTTCACCATGCCACCATAGCTACGTGTAGCTTCATCGACATTGTTACTGTCTATGCTTCTAACAGTTAACCAATCTTCATTGAAATCTTAGTCAGACATTTTTCAAAGACAAAACCATGTCATCTTCAACCAATAACTCCATCCTTTTCATCAAACACTTGGTGGTCAAGCATGGTTTCCTGTCTATTAGGTTGTAAATAAGACGAGATAGATCGTGAGTTGCTCGAGATCGACTCGGTTAAAGCTCGATAAATATCTGACTCGAATGGATTCGACTCGAGCTGGACTCGAGTTCTTAACGAGCCGAAACAAGTTACTTGATACTGAACACGAAAAGCTCGTGAGCATCTAAAAAATATAATATTTTTGTTTTTTTAAACAAATTATTAATAATATTAACATTTATGTTTTGATTTTTTTTAAATGCAGTATAAGATTTTCATGTATTTAATGTTCAGGTTCGATTTTGAGTTTAAAGCTTTAATCGAGTTCATATTTTTTTCTTCTTTTGGAGCCTTTTCGAGCTTTTACGAGTTTCAATTCATGATTTCAAGTTCAAGTCGAGCTTAAAAATTTTAGGCTCGCGAGTTTTCGAGTTGAATTTCATTTCAGAGTTTTCGAGTCGAGTCGAGCTCAACAATACTTGAGCTTGACTCGGCTTGTTTACAGTCTTACCCGTCAATCGTCTCATATCATAGATTTAAATAGTGGTCTCTATCATAATAGCGCGTGACTGTTAATATAATGATAAAAATGTCGTCTAAAATTATTATTATACAATCATATTATTCGTAATTATCTCAATAACACTTGCTATTGTCACAATCGCGATAAACACAACCACAATTGCGACCAGAACACAATTTAAGCCTCTGAGTCAAATTTTATACTTAGAAGTGCTTATCGAACAAGTTGATCAAATTTTTGTATTATACAAAATCTACTAATACTATATAAAGCTTAATATAAACATAAATCGACAACTTTAACAAAAACAATCAAAATAATGTGAAAAGTAATATGATTAGATGTACATATAGATACGAATAACTTATGATATTTCTTAATTATATTTAAAAAAATTAATAAGTCTCGATTGATCCAATAAGAATTCTTTGTATAAGTGTTGCCGATATGATTATATGATAATGGAATCATGTTTAATATGCATATTTGCATGATATAAAAGTGTATGACATCTTTAGTGATAGTTGCATGTTGGTTTTGTTAATTTGATTGTACGAAAACGATTGTGTCGTATTTGTATCTATATATTCATATATATATATATATATTTTTAATAAATGAATGGATACGGACACAATATTATTCGTTCAAATTCAATTCACCTTTCTTCAAAGAAAGATCAGTACGTAAAAACACCCCCACAAACAATCGAAAGTAGGATTAAAATGGGAAAAAAAAGAAAAAGAAAAAGGAAAGGGAAATAAGAGTGTGGTGATCTCTGTTCATAATTAATAAATCTTCAAAAATTTCGTACTTAAATAAAAAAAACCCAACCAAATTCTTGTCCGATTGAAGAATTAGACTCGATAAAACCGGTTCAATGAGATATGGCTCGTTCCTTGACGATGTCATAGCTCATTTCACTCAGATCAGTGGCTTGCAACTCGACTTGAACACCATCCAGCTCCTTCCTGAACCTGTCTTTAGAGCTTGCATACACCATCTTGCTCCGAACCCTCGACGTATCCGGAGACCTACAACGAATCCGTAAGACGAGTAACTCGGAACATCGGTCGATATCGAGCTCGATAAATTTAAGTCGTTTGAGATAAATAGATCGTAGATGTACATATTAATGGGGGGGGATGTGTGATTACCATGCAATGAAGACGATCTTGCTCTTGTTGCAGTTCTCATTGGTGGTGAAATCGAGATCGAAGACGGCATAACGGCACTCGTTGGTGGGCATGCTGGCGATTAGGTCTTCATATTTGTCGTCCGGTTGGCCCAGCTTGTCGACCACAACCTGCTGAGTCGCGTCCTCTATTTTGAACACAATGTACCTGTAGTTCCTCTTTGCTTTCAGCTCCAAGAACTTGGCCTTACAATTATCGTCCACAGCGATTCCCGAGGCTGCGTTCGCCTATTACATGTATTCGATCAGATTCGATTAGAATTTATTCGATTAAAAAATAAAATCGAAACATAATCCATCCGAATTCGATAAAAAAAACAGAATAACGACGTCGTATTGAATCCGTACCATTTCGTCACGTACGAGAGAGAGGAAGGGAGCTTTGTGTCGAGGGGAAGGATGTAGCAAGAGGATGAATGATTGTTGCGAGTACAAAAAGAATGAGGACCTTGAATTTCGGGGTAAATGAGTTAATCTAAATATAGAAAGGCGTTGGGTCAAATGATGAAAATATGGAATGGTTTACAAATGTTTTTACTAATTCAAATAAAGTTTCAAATTACGTTTTAATTCTATGGTAAAGTACACGGATGGTCCCCCGACTATAGAGCACTGATTTATTGAGTCTTTCGACTATTAAAAATTACAAAATGATTCTTTAAATATAGAGTGTTGCTTTGTTGAGTCTTTCGACTATTAAAAGTTATAAAATGGTATCTCAACTATTCATATATGCTAAACTCGTCATTTTCTTTAAAAATTGACGATCGTCTAAGCTGGACAAAAACATGCTGACTGGAATAAGATAGTCTTTTGATATTCTGAGATCAGATTTTATCATATTACAGTCAATATGTTAACGTTTATCTAACTCAGATAACTATCAAATTTTTAACAGAAAACGACAAGTAAATCGATACCCCTATTAGATCTAGGTGAGATAACCCTCCCTAGCCATTACCCCTATAATGTTAAATAAAAAACTCCGAAGATTAACAAATACTTAATTTAAATCATATGTTGAATGTATGGTCGATCTAAAATCTTCAATATTTGCGCCGTTAATTTTTTTTTTCAATCTTTGCAACGGTGGCATCAGCCTTGGTACTGATCGACTACCACCGGTAATCATCAGTTTTTATTTTATTATTATTATTTTTTTTAATTTTTTTAGTTTTTATAATTTTGTTGTTCTCTGTCTTTGTAAAACGTTTTTTTTTCTGTCTTTATGACACTAACCGTTATTTTAGTTTATATTTTTTATAGGATTGTATTTGACATCAACTTGATTAATTAAGATGAAACTTATTTGTTGTCATGTTGATCTTTCCTGTTTTTGATCCTCATATTGGACTTGGAAATGGTATTTGCGTTCGTGACTATTTTGTTCGCTTCGCTCGATTCTGATTTGCGGTGTGTCGGTGATCTTTCAATAGATTTATCATTTTTTGTGGTTCGTTTGCCGATGCATTCAGATGTGTTTGTATCTATATTTTGTTCGAGTTCTTTAGTTATGTTTTTAACCTTTTCCTTTATAGTTGTGATCTTAAGTGACTAGTTTTTGTGTTAATGATTATAGTAAAATGTCCTAATTAATTTATATTTATGATCGTAAATATTTATTTTAATTTTGAATATTTTATCTTTTTAATAAAATTAACCACTTCTATAGAAAAAGAAAAATAATATATTGAATGGACTTGCTACAAAGGATAATATTTTATCACTTTTTATTTTAGTGTGATTTCTCCCTGTGCATATGGAGGAATATTCTAGGCTGATGTGGATAATACAGGCTGAATTATCCAAAAAAATAAATAATATTTATCCAAAAAATAAATCAAATTCGGATAGTAAAAATTCAATGGCTAATATCTACATCTATTTTGAATTTATCATGAATAATAATTAAAATATTTATATCTGAATATTTCTAGAATATAGAAAACTTTAAATAAAAAAATAAATTAAGATGGTATAACATAATTTAATTCATAAACATTTTTAATATAATATCAATAAATTCAAATCATATTGTATCGAGGTCCGCCCGACCGGATAAAATTAGTTCATATTTGGTACACAAATATATTTAGGGTAAATTATATAAATGATGACTAAACTATAAATATTTATAGTAAAAGAGTAATTTTTGCTCATGTAGTAGACACAATTTATCACTTTTGCCCCTATCAAATTTTCGCATCAATTTAAGCTTCAGTTTCTCAATTGTATCATTATATACCCTACTACTAATTTAAAATCCTAGATTATAAACCTTAAACCATAACCTCATACCTCTAAACCATAAACCCTAAACCTTAAACACCAACTTACAATTTATAATTTAGGTTTTAAGTTAGGGGAGGGACTTAGACCTGGCAAATTTGACTCGTATCCGATTACCCGAACCGATACTCGACATAGACCCGAATATGATAACCTAAAATTGATCCAAAATTCGAAATAAACTGAATCAAATCGAAATCGACCCAAATTATAGTTTAACCGAAATCAACCAGAACCGAAAGTAAAATGAACCCAAAGCAACTAAATCAAAGGTAACCCGAATTGAAATAACTTGAACAGAAAGTAACCTAAATATAATTTACCCATACCCGATCTGAACCAAACTTTGACTCGATTTTAACCCGATAATTGAGTCTAAGTGAACAAAAAATTTATTTATTTATTATTATTATTATTATTATTATCTATTTTTAATAATTAGATAAATAGTATAATGATATATGTTTACTTATTTTATATTATACAATTAGTTCATCACTACATTTAGTAATAGTTTAATAGTTCAATATAATTTTTACTCTGTTAAAAGATCATATTTATAATCAATAACTTCTAAATCAATCCTAAAATTTATTATGATTTATAAAGTTATTTTTATATTTCCAAATATTCTAATTTGATTTAATTCATTTAAATTAAAACTTTTAGTCCCGAATTTGAGATGTAACAATATATAGTCATATAAGTTTTATGAATTAGAAGTTATAAATAGTAGCACCGATGATTAAGACAACAAAGAGTTAAGACGGTTGACCTAAACAGAAACAACTCGAATTGACCCGAAAATATAAAGGTTGATCCGAAACGAAACCAACCCGAATTGACCCGAAAATCTAATGCTTGGGTCGAACCGAAGCCAACCGATCTGATATTGACCCGACTTAAAACCAATCGATCCAATTTTGACCAACCCGAAAATCAATTGACCTGATTTGACCAAATCTGATACCCGATCCGAACTGAATTACCATTGACACAAACTAAACCCGAACCCGATCTGACCCGAATCGAACTAAATCCAAAACGAATGCAATCTTAACCCGAAATAACTCGATCCGAAACGATCTGATCCGAATGACTCGATTGCCACCTCTAGGAAGGGTATAGAATGATGCAATTAAACAATTTTGAGGTTAAATTGAATCGAAAATACAATAAGGGTAAATGATAAATTGAGTATACTACAGGGACAAAGATGACCCTTAAGCCAATATTTTTTAATACTAAAACATTAGAAGAAATGAAACGATTATTATCGATATTGTTTTATAATAAATCGATTATTGGACTTTCAATAGTCATTATTTTAATAATAAAAATTAATTTAATACGTTAATTTAATTTATTTCACATCATTTAACCATGTGCAATGAAAGTCAAAATCGTGCAATATTAATCTAAAATCTAATTATCGACATTTTGAATATTTTAATGTGTATGACAACAATCTAGAAATGCTAGCTGGAGATACCAAAGGTCATATACAATTATGCCAAGCAACATATATATGTTTTGTACTATCAAAAAGTCATAAAAGTGAAAATTAATTTTGAGTTGTAAAACGTTCATGTGGTCCAGTTTTAAAATCTAGAGAGGAAATGTTTTTTTTAAAGAGAAAAGAGGTAGATGTATCCATAGGGATGGGTATGGGTCGGGTTTTTGGTCCATCCGACTTGACCTGAGAACAAAAAGTCATCCACCCGAGACCCGACCCGACCAAAACAAGTTTTCACCATATCTGATATATAACTTAAAAACTGATCCAACCCGAAATAATAAAAAAATATTTTTATTCAATAAAAGCAGTGACTTAATTGAAAAAATATAATATATAGAGAGATATTATTGTAATTATTTCTAAATATATAAGGTAAAATTATATATATTTTTCGGGTCGGGTCGGTATTTTTACCCTAAACCCGAACCGAATTTAAAAAAAAATCAACCCGATCGGGTTGGGTCGGGTCGGAACCTATCGGGTTCGGGTCATATGTCCATCCCTATGAATTTATAGATATACGTAGAATTTTGTGTTAAAGGGCGAACTTAAATTTAGGGAGGCAAACTTAAATTTTTAAGAGGATAAAAATAGATTTTTAATAAAAAATATATAAAATATCTAAAATATATGATAATTTTAGATTTTTAAGGACGATAACCCCACCCGTTCCCTCGATCCATCCCTGGACGTATATTATATAGTGGAATAATTGTGATAAATGTTTATTTTGTTTCGGCCGTCTGACTTTTAAAAATATTATTTTACCCTTTGAATCTACTAAGTATAATAAAATTATAATATATAAATGTGTTATCCATGCTTTGTATAAAATTTTACTTTTACACATATAAAAAATTATATTTATTAAAATGGTGAACTAAATGGATGATAACTTATTTTTATTTTTGTCCACTTTTGGTCATTGATTTAAAAAAAATACGATATTGTTACTTTTGTTTTTATTTAATTAAGATATAGTCAGTCCGAGCTAATTGTCGTTAACAGCTGTTAAATATTTTAATATATTTACACATTTAGTTCCTATTATTTACATATTCTCTTAATTTAGTCATACCATTAATAAATAAAAATAAATTATGTTTTTTAAATGAAATTTTTAAAATTAAGTCAATAATAAAATATATTTAATAAGTTGATATAAAAATATTTTAAGTTAATATATATATAATTATATTATATATAATTTGGGTCACAGTTACCCGATTCATAATTTGTTAATTTTTTCTTTAAATTATATTATTTTTAAAAAACATTATATAAAAAATTCTAAAATTTAAAAGCCTATAATATATATAATTCACACATAAAGTTTAAAAATTCAAATTAGATAATTGAAATAAAATTTATTAAAATTTAAAATAAATAATATAATTAAATTTTAAATGTTTTTAAGTTAAAATAAATATTTTAAAAAACAATTTAGAACGTTAATGTAAAATAATTTAATATTTTTATTTTTAAAATTTTAAAATAATTTCTCAAAATTACCAGTGTTTGACACGTGTCTCTTAACGACCATTACGATTAAGACACTTAAAAGTGCTCCGATGAAAAC